CCACCGCAGCCCAGGGAGCATCGGGGGACAGGGGGATTGACCCCACCCCAGAAAAGGTTGCCGACCACTGCTTTAGGATATAGTCCCAGACCAATACTCTAACCATGCTGGATCAGATTTCTTAGCCAGGTCTGTTGAGAGGAAATTTGCCACCATTGCCTGTGTGTGGCAATGAGCGAGTGTAACTCTTGAGCAGGGTCATCCACTTTCCATGGATAAGTGGGGATTTGAACCCAGGTCTCCCAGATTGCCAACATTCAATCTAAATTCTTTAATTAATAAGGCCACCCCTCCCTCTCTCTCTCTCTCTCTCTCTCTCTGTTTCTCCCATTGGCAGATTGAGGGAACCGAAAAGCTGCTCAACAAGGACCTTGCAGAGTTGATCAACAAGATGCGCCTGGCCCAGCAGAACGCCATGACCTCACTGAGCGAAGAGTGCAAGCGCCAGATGCTGACCGCTTCCCACACGCTGGCTGTCGATGCCAAGAACCTCCTGGATGCGGTTGACCAAGCCAAGATACGAGCCAACCTGGTGAAGGTCTCTTTCGAGTGACCGAGAGAGAATATTGGCTCCTTCCTTTCTCCCTCCCTTCCTTTTTCGAAAGAAACATCTCCCTCGGCTTCTATATTATGAATCTCCCATCCCACCCTTCCACAAAACGCTCGTGTCTTTGATGTTGTCACGTCTGTCTTCTTAGAGCAAAGGAAGGGGATGCCAAAGAGAAGAGGATGTAACTCAGGTCATGGAAGGGATGCAGACCTTCCTGGGCTTTGGAGGTGTTGCTGCTATACAAGGCACTGTTGTATATATAGCAGTCCTAGGAGGGGAAGAGACTTGCTCCAGATTAGCCCATGGATTCCGAGGCCAACATCTTGTAGTGACATAGACAGGTGTGAATTGCACTAAGTGTGCAGAGTAATTTTTTTTTTTTTGGATAATAGGCAATGGTCGTATCCAGATGATGGTGATGCAAGCAGAGTTGCACATATGGGACTGTAACACATGAAAGTATGCAGAGTAGCATGCAAATGTGCATTGGACCTATGTCTCCTTTTGCATTGCAATTGCACATTGGATTTTCAGCCATGAACACTGACCATCAATCATTGGTGTTCTGTATGTGGATTGTGTAATATAGCTCTACTAATGGATGTTTGCCCTATGCTAAAAGACAGGAACTCAGTCTGAGCCTGAACCAGTCATCCCATCAAAAGAAGCGGCTTCCTTCACTGACCCCTTCTGCTTCCTTCAAATGTCCCTCCAACATCAAAACTTGTACTTTGTCTCAATGATGAAAGAGATTTATGGGATGGCTGGATTGGACATCCACCACCACCATTACTATTTTCAGGATAGAGCAGAGAATGGCAGGGTGAATTGCTCCATGATTACTCCATGGATTACTCTATAATTGCTCAGTGGTTTGCTCCATACTTGCTCCAGGGATTGCTCCGTAATTGCTTTGGAGATTGCTCCAGAATTTGTTGCAGGGATTGCTCCAGAAATGCTCTGGAGATTGCTCCATGGATTGTTCCAGAATTGCTCCAGGAATTGCTCCATAATTGTTCTGAAGATTGCTCTATGGATTGCACCAGAATTGCTCCAGGAATTGCTCAGGAGATTGCTCCAGAATTAATAGGTTGTTCCAGAATTGCTCCATGGATTGCTCTGAATTGCTCCAGAGATTGTTCCATGTTTACTCTTGGGATGCACCTAAAGGCCTAGCACTGGGAGAATATGTTTGTTAGGCCATGTCTGTGTCACTGGGATTGGAAGACCTTCCCATGGGGATGCTGGCTGTCAGAAAAGAAACTGTTTGTGTCTTCTTTGTAAATTGTATAGAAGCATTTATTTAATTGCTGTGTCTGAACTGTATGCGCAGCTCTCACAAATCCTTACTTCTCTCCCATCTCTCCCTAACCAGCTTTCTCTGAATTTAGGATTAAGTTTAAAAGGTCTGGATAATGGATCTAAATGGATCTCCATGGATGGCAGGGATCTAAAATGAACCTATCAGGTTTCAAGAGGGTTGTTCCAGCAAAAACTCCAAAGAGTCTTATGGGGCTTTCAGGACTATCAGATTTATCATGGCTTCAGTTTTCATGGACTAGAATCACTGATCTCAAATCTGTTAGTCTGAAATATGCCCTTGAATATCTAGCTGTGATTTCTAGTACAAATGGAACAGTATGAACTGTTGGATCAGCAAAATCCACACCGCTACCACTCCCCCTGTGAACACATAGATCACAGGATTTGTACACCACATCATTTTGGAACCTTTTCAACTGAATTCTATTTTAAAATACAGGCTTTGAAATTAAATATGCCTCACAATTTCAGCTCCAAATACTTGCCAGTGAAACTGATGTTTCACTAAAAACACCCAGGGTTTGAAGGATTAGAAGCCATTTGAATTCCACTGTCTTGAATGTGGGTCTCTTCCTTGCACACTTTTGAAACCCATTTTCCTTCCTTCCTTCCTTCCTTCCTTCCTTCCTTCCTTCCTT